ACGCAGAAATATACCTTCTGCACGCGTATCGGGAGTTGAGGGCGCTTTGTCCACAACACGACATTTATATAGCTGCGTCATCGAGCGAACGCGCAAGGGTTGTTCAAAGGTGACAAAATAAATAAAAGATCAGAATTAATGATTTTTTTTATTTGTCTGATAATAGAATATATCTAAGTTTTATAAAATGAAAACTAGCTTTATTTCTGTCTATGAATACTCTGTTTTTAAACTCAACCCCTCTACTACTACAACTAACTTGTACTCTGGGGAGTGATTCAGTGTCGCGCGTGGCTAGTTGCTTTAAACATTGAACCATTTTATTCACGAAGTTAAATTAAAAAAGATTAAAATAAGTTTGCTGTCGTTTCTACTCGGCTAATTTATTTGACGATGAAACGTGAATGAACAAAATGGACGTGCAAGAAATCACTGCTGCAATAGTTTTATGTTTTGCTCATCATAATTATGTACATATCCATTGTATAAAAAAAGATAAAAATCTTAGAAGAAAAGGAAAATTAATAGATTATGCAACTGGAACAACTATTCGAATCGGATTTCACAAAAATTTTAAATGAATTTACGGTTTATACTAAACATATATGCCGCTTTTTTGATTTTGAAACATTAAATAAAATCGTATCATTTCATTGACTTAAATATTACTGGCGTAAGTAATAATATGTAATATCAATGTGTCATTTCTGCTATCATTTACATTTACAGATAGCGATTTTACTTTAAGCTAAGTAACGGAATTAAAAAATAGTGTTCTTTAACGTAATTTAATATGAGTTGTATCCATACCTGTATTTAGATCGGATGTACAGAGTAAAATTTTTTATTAAATGTTTTTAAAAACAATTAAAAACTATACTTAATTTTTTACTTTGGAATAGTAAAAATATTTATTGGCAACAAAAAAAGTGGCAACCCTAACTCTATCATAATATACGCGAGCGTTATCCGCTAGCTTTGATCTTTGCACAAAATGCCAACACCGAGCTGCGGGGAGCGGACGCAAGGTGAACAATATAAGGTAATAATCACGTCATGCGAAGGGGTTGGGATCTAGTCATATCTTACCAAGCAAGAAAACACATAAATTCTGCAAATCTTACTGCGATAAACATTGAGAATTGAAAATCAAGGTTTGATTTTCATGCAAATAATAATTGTTTTTTTTTTGAATATTACTAGTAATACCACAGATTAACTAATAAGTAATACCGAGAGGTTACACGTGGTCACTAAACTTAATTGTGAACAACAGCGAATTTTTCCACTATTGAGCGCACCTAAGTATGTATTTTTTCATGTCATAATTTATTAAAAGTAGTACAGGTACTTTTCATATCAATTTCATCAGTTTTTTTTAGTTAGAGTACGAAAGAAAGTCTGAATTTTTATGGTATCGAACTTCCAAAAAGGTACATATAAAAGTAGCATAATATAAGATAGCAATTAGCCAAACGTATTAAAATAAATATATAGTTAATTTGTAAAGATTTAAGTTCAGTAACTTTTTAAAAATAAACCGATCTTAAGCTTGTTTATTGTAAAAGATATCCCTACTATCTAGACTTGTAGAAGGCAGTTCTAAGAAAGGATATAGGCAGGAACGTTGCAGTCTTAAACCGGTTAAATCGTAGTGAGGCAACATAGTCCAGCAACTGTTCTCATTTATTTATTTATTTACAACCAACTTATATCTAACATTACAGGTTTCTACCCAAAGCGATAAATAAATCACTATTTACAATCCTATATTACCTATATTACTATATTAACTTATAGCTAATTATCCATTAGTTTTGTGAATTCGTTCAGAGTAAAAAATAATAAATCTGTTTCTCTGTCGATCAGGTTTAATGTTCGAAACGCTCGCGTCAGGGGTGCCTCTCGCATTAAGTTAGTGCGACATCTAGGGACGGCCAGTAGGTCTGGCTGACGCCGCCGCCATACGTATACCTAATCGGAACACAAATATTAATCTTCGTCAACATATTTTCATTAATAATCATACCCCTAAGAACCATAAAAGTATATGAAACTAGTAGTAGTAGAAAGTTCTCTCCTTACCCTGAGCTGATTGTATCCCACCATACACAGAACAAATAATGTGTGATATTGCAGTGGGTAAAATGGGTACAACCCATATAACTTAAGATACAAATACCTTACAAATTTGTTTTGTACTTTCTCCAGCATTAGATCGTACTTCTTCTCATGAGAAGCCCAAATTATTGAATTACACTCCAAATGACTCCGAACTAGTGTGTTGTACAAAGCTATAATAGCTTGCACGTTTGTGAAACCGTTAACTGTACGTAACGTAAAACCTAGAGCTCTAAAAGCATTTTTACATGTTTCAACAATATGATCCTTAAACGTTAAATCAGCAGAAAATTTTACTCCTAAATCCCTGACTTGCATTACCCGAGATATAGGTGTCCTGTCAATGTAATATGTATAGTACTCTGTGGGCTTATGTTTGCGCGTGAAAGATATTGTTGAGCATTTAGCGGTATAAAATTGTAATTTCTTATCTTTGCTCGATTCAACAACTCTATTTATATCGTCTAGGAGACTGTCACAGTCCTCCAAACTACCTATATCCATCAATAACTTAAGGTCGTCTGCAAATAACAAACATCTTGATTTCTTCACAACATTGGGTAAGTCATTTATCATGATTAAAAACTCCAAAGGTCCTAGATTCGACCCCAGACTCACACCAGACCATGTAAAATATGGTTTTGTCTTATGACCCTCATATTCTACATACTGTTACCTATCTGTCATGTAGCTAGCGAAAAAACTCAATAAGTGTAGGGTGAAACCAAATTTTGCCATTTTTTTAATAATATGTCATTATTAATCAAATCAAATGCTTTTTTGAAATCAAAATAAGCAGTATCAGCTTGTCCCCCACTATCTACTACTGGTGTTATATCGGTCACAAGCGCTAAAAGGTTACTTGCAGTGCTCCGAGCAGGTCTAAACCCGTGCTGCGCTTCCGACAGCTGTGTGTTTATCTGTTGATATAATTTTTTGTATATAGCCGACTCAAATACCTTGGCTCGAGTAGATAGGACTGTTACCGGTCTAAAGTCCTCTACACTTACTCTCTACATTTACTTAGTAAAGATACCATATTTATATTTCAAATCAAATTAATTTCAATTGTAATTGGATTCTTAAAAATAATCATCTTCAATCAGCAATGGATCTGGTTGGAATTTATGTACATAAAGCTACTGAGAAAGTATCATAAATATATAATACTAGAAGTGCCGCGCCGTTTCACCTATGATTACCACGCATCTGAGCCGCGCGACATGATACCTCGCATATAGAGAAGACATTCATTGTTAGTTTTTCGGTTCTCATCAGGAGGCTAGGGTTTATGTGTCGTAATTTGTTAAATTATTTTAATTTTTCATTATTTCTTAAACTATGCGTTCAAATAACATGCTATAAAGCGAAAAGTTTATCATCATAAAATTGTCTTGATGAAGTAACGTTCCTTAGTAAGGCTTAGTATGTCATGCCTAATAATAACTTTCGTAAATCACTTTTTTAATTTTCAATATTTTCTGTCACAAAAGCCTTATGTGTAAGAAATAGGCTTAATATTATGGTATCGCGGACTTTTTTTAGATGGAGTTTATATAGATGGAAAGATCTTTATTTTTGTAAAGTATGTGCCAAATCGATTGAGAAAAACGGACAATGACCTCAAATATGAGCCGAGTGTCAAAAGGTGTAACATACAAAATCTCAATTTAGATGTGATAACAATATTTAAATATTGATATTATTCACACTTCTAGGTCAGCACATATGTTTTGTTTTGTGTTTCTTAAATAATGTTGTCTGTGGTTCCTATAAACATCGAAAATCGGTACTGTAAATTGCGAAAAATGTGTTATATTCTATATTTCAATTTATGGTAAGTAACGCAGCAATTCATTTAATAACAGTTTCATATTAAAAAAAAACATTTGAAGCAATATAATCACCATATTGAGCTTTTGCAAATTCATCCCTTTAAAATAAACAAAACGCGCGTTACGTCAGTTCGTTCTAAAAGAAATGTGACAATGGCAGCCAGAGATGCGTCACCTTTTTTGGGCCGGTCCGCCATTTTACCGAATAAAAATAAAGTTCTTATATAATATTGAAAATAAAGTTTTGTCTTTTGAAAAAGTTCGTAATTATTCGGTGCCGTTATCACTCGAATCTTTATATGTGTTATGAATTAATAATTTTTGTTGTTAAATGAATAAAGTACCTTATAACAATAGATGGTTTTTCTTCTACAGCGATCTTTTACATAACTTTTTAATAATAGTTAGTAAATATATATTATATAAATCATTATAAAAAAATAATTAAAAAATCATTAGAAACGAAGAAAGTACTACATATAAAATGTGCCTATATATTGAAGGTTTGTAACCCCTGGTTAAACGACCGAAAGGTCATTGTCCGTTTTTCTCAATCGATTTGACACATACTATAGAACATTGTGTTTACGTATGTGAGCCATCAGCCAGTGTACGCGGCCAAAGAAGTTTGGGAGCGCTTTTTTTTTCTGACTTGCTTAACAAAAATCAATATTTAAGACTAGCCGATAAGTGTAGCCTAATGATAGATAGCTTTTACTATTCTTCATGAATCTGGCTATAATACACAAAAATATCGAACTGGTAACTAGTTCTAGAGATTAGCGTGTTTAAACAAAATAAATACTCTTCTTTTTATATTATTATATAAGTATAGATTATATTTCTGTAAAAAGTATACTTTATCGTTGAACAAGAAGTAAGCTAAATCAATTAACTGATCTCATAGATATTGAATCGACACCCTCTCCACTCCTCCCCCACTTTTTGAAACGGGTAATAATTGAAACAATAATAAGTAACTTTTTCTAATTTTATAACAAGAAAAAATACATTTTACAGAAAATAACAAAATTTTCTATGGGATCATATGTCCTCGGTAGCTACTCTGTGGTGTGAGTTGAGCGGCCTTCGGCTCTCTTCGTCCGAACCATAGATTACTTCTTCGTCTGAATCATTGATCATGGAAAACGCGGGATTGTCTTTCGTTATGGCCGTTTCTGGAAAATATAGATTAGTTATGTAAATATTATCAAATATCATCAATCATAAAAATCAAATATTATTAAAAATCACAAAAAACAAGCACACAGTCCGCCTGCTGGTGAGTGGACCATCAGGTGAACTGTATGCTCGTTTGTCACCTTTACTTATTAAAAAAAAATCATGTTAATTTGTTTTCATTTGCTTATTATCGATTTAGATGCGCTAGAGTTACAACACACAAAGCACAGCTCCAGAGCATCTAAATCGATAATAACCAGGAACTTGTATTATATATATATATATACAATATTTTTATATTTTTGCTAGTATCGAATTCCGGGGAACTGGTTCGCAAATTACAAAAAAATGTTACCTTTTATATGTACCTAATTCTTAATGAAATTAATACTATTTCTTTCTTTTTAGTCTTAATTATTACAATAATAATGTATAATAATCCATAGCTTTCATAGTAACGGTCGTTTTGTTTCGGATTTTTTTACCAACACACGCCGCTCGCCATATTACAATATGCACTGACCTCAATATATGGACTGGCCATACACCGTGACATAATGAGGCGATTTTATTTTCGCCATTTTGCCGCTGACAGCAGAATAGATCGTCCACGGAACTAATAATAGAGATAAGAGAGTGTGACAAAGTATATCGATAAAAATTCTATACCCAGGCCTACCCGTCCGTCCATTCCATTTATGTGTCATATTAATATAACGCCATACAAGAAATAAATGTATCAATTAATACGTAATTAATACCTTACACGCAAGCTTTATACTTCATATACAACCAAGATTGATGCTGGGTTGGTCTATCTACGTTTTTATCTATCCGCGGGCCCACTGGCGCCAGCCACCCAAAGGCAGCCCCGTCTTAGTTGCGGATTTTTCCTCTCCCTATTTTTTCTCAGAAAAGGTGCACCAGAAACACAAGGCCAACAGCCTTTTGGGGCCTCTGACTCCACCTGCACAACGGACTCCCCGAGCCCGATATGTGGAGGCAATGAACCCAGGAAAAAACGAGCACTTGGAAACACTGGTGTGTGTGCAGCCTCGCCAAACTCACGGAGAATAGTCGAGTGGCGCATCGCCAAACGCCATACCAACACTCCTCTTCCCTTGCAACTTCACCTCGGCTGCAGCGGTATATGGAGAGCACTCTCCTATAGCTGCAGCCCTCTAACACACATCCAAGGACTCGACAAGCCCACTCAGAGTGACCACCTCGGACCATCCGTGTGAAGCAACTACGTTTAGCATGGGTTACCGAGCATCACATGGGTTACCAAGGTTACCAGTTGTGCAGTCCCAATATAAATTTATTCCCTTGACATAATAAATTGGTATTTAACATATTCACCATAAGGCGACTTTTATACACTTGGCTATGGCCCTTGAGTTTGGGAGAAAATGAGAAGAGAAGAAAACAAACATTCGAAATAATAATGTAATACTTTTATACTTATACTTATTGGTACTGATACTACCAGGAAATATTGTCGGTATACTGCACTTTTTCAAAGTGGTGCGTTTGTCATGTCTACTAAAACAGTCATCTGTGAAACGTTTAGAACAAAGATAATAATTTTGTTTCGCATGCCAATTCAAAATTTTTATGCTTTTAAGCCATAATTTTACTCTAGGTTCAGTCAGAAACCTGTTAATTAATAAACATTTCATAATTATCTGTTGTCGGCAACTTTGGTTGTTAACAGACATGGGTAGGAAAGAACATCGATAAGTATTATAGACAAGGAACTCAACAGCCCTATTCAATTTTATTGTTTATCCAAACTCAGTAATATAAAGTCTGAACAATGAATAAACATGATGGTAATTACGATATTAAGATTAGTAACACATTTTTAAGTACCTGTAATATCAAAAAGTTTTAATTTGTTTAATACCACTTTCCTTTTGGTAACGAGTTTTACATATTACGCACACTCTCATTATTAATAATATTAAATAATTGTTATTGTGTAACTAAAATCAAACACTTTCAAATTTTTTCACTTTTTAGTTTAAAGTTCAAAATGCAGAGATAAAATTTAAATAAGACTTTGGCATTTTATGTCACTTTTAGTTCCCGGTACGAAAAATGGTGGCGCTTCAAATCGGCACTGACATTTTGGTATGGTATAGCCAGTCCAGAGAACTTGTATACATAGAAGAACTCATGCCATTCGGTTGAGCTAAAGATCCGAGTCTGTATCCGAGTTGTCGCCGAGCGATAGATAAATTGGCGCCGAGTGATAAATTGGTTTGCAAATTATATTAAATACAATACAATATTTAAGAGTATTAATACATTATATTAATATTACTGTCTTAGAACTTCGACCACCATTATTTTTTATTTTTTTATTGCAGGTTGCCTTAAGATCAGAGTTTAAGAGATGTATGAAAGTACTTTTGTATTTACAGGCTTATCTAGCTTTGGTCACAAGAAAGAGCGTCATTTGCTCATGTTTTCAAGTGTTGGTGAACAATAGGAGGAGATTGGTCGAGGGCACCAAGCTAACTTTAATATCACACTGTATTTGTTCCGTAAGCGTTTTTATATCACGGAGAAGACAAACTAGCTTACAGTCGACCTGATGGTAAGTAAAGTGAAGTCCATGGATATAATTTACGATATCAAGGTCAACAAACTGCTACAGATTGTAAATGCATTGCCAATCCTGAGGACTAAGATGTGATGTCCGTGTATGCGTAGTGTGTGATTAGTCATAGTTGTGAAATGAAACTCGGTTCTCGACTTCAAAAAATTACAAGGTTTTAAATCTAATTTTTCTGGAGTCATCAATTATCATTTAATCTACCAGATAACAGACTATCACCTCACGATGCCATTATTGTCACTCACACTATTTCTGATACATTAACAGTTTTCTTTTAATAGTTTACTGAAGATATGTAATATTATGTTTGACTAAAATAAATAGGTAGGTAAATATTTATCAAATAGTTAATTCCACTTATTTATTGTTTAGATTGAATCAAATGCATAGAAAGATAATAACAGCATAATAGACCCCACTTGTTTCTCAAGCACAGTCTAAGGAAACACCTGAAGATTGTAATTCGATTTTCACTATTGCACTTATGAACACCAAGAAATAAAAAATAAATTAAAAATGCAGCAATTTGTAATATATTTACGTGGTAGAGCCCACGTTGTAGCACGAATGGGTAGGCTCGATCGGGGCAGGACCACACTCTCACAGATTACCAGCGTGAAATATTAGCTTAATGCTGCTGTGTTTCGTATGCTGAGTGTAGAGAACCGGAGACCCTTTTTACTGTAAACGAGGCATTCCATCTTAGTCCTCACGGGCGACAACGTATCTGCATTTTGATTCACAGTCGAGGATAGATGTAGATGTCTATGGGCCACAGCAACCATTTACCATCAGGTGGACTGTGTGCTCGTTTGTCACCCTTTCCTATGAAAAAATATTATAAGAAAAAAATTAAAGGCTCCAAGCTAAAATCTTTTTTGAAGAAAAAAGTTGCTAGGTTGTAATAAACTTTTTAGAATCTGCATGAAAAATCTTTGATAGATAGAGAAGAACGGATGGTTCTTGAAAAATTTGGCGTTGAAAAAACAGAAATTATTAAGCGTCAATTTAAAAAAATATACAAATTTGGAAAGCTCTCACAAGCTATTTATTCACCACAACTGCGGTATTTTGCTTTAACTTTCTATACTGATACAAAAATTACTTTCTTAGTGAAAAATTGAACCCACAAAAATGTATTCCTTATTTATACAAAATCAATCCATTTTAAAAACCAGTGATAGATAGAACTATTGGTAACACGGAGTTTTAAAAATTATATACACATTAAGTTTATTTGTTAATTGATAGGTAATTATAGTAGTAATAAATGAAGTCCTATCTTTATTATAATATCCACCTTTTCATCGATAATGCGTATCGATAGTTGTTATAGTTGTATATATATAACATACGATTATTTTTGTGTGGAAGTATGTTAAAGTGTGCGTGACGCAGATTTCCCTCCCGAATATACAATAACATTTACAACAAATGAAATGATACAAAATAAGAATATAGTAAGTAAGGTGGGTTGGTATTACTGTTGGTATGAGAGATAAATGAGAATATGACATTTAGAAAGGAATATCAGTCATGGAGTGGGCAGGAAAAAAGAAACAGGTGATCTAAGTCTACTAATTTAATGAAAATAACATATTAGTTCTAACCGGTCATTAAATAAGATAATATTTTAAAAAAATACCGATTACCAGGTTCCCAGCTTTATTAATTTTATTGTATGGTAAGACCCGAAGAATTAGTTCAATACATTTATTTTTTATGATGGGCAAAAGTCATTGCCAATAGTGCCTTCATCGAGGAGAAAATAAAATTGCAGTACAGCTTATATACTCTTCGTAATGAGATGATTTTTGGTGCAGGACAGGACTTCATAAATCCTCGAAATATTTAAGTCTTTACGATACTTTGCTACACCGCAGAGCCCGCACAAGGTGAAGATTAAGCGGTTTTGTTCCGAAAATTACAGTACCCATCATTAGTCCCTAAAAATTCAAATATCTCTGGTACATTATATCTTACCATGAATGGATCCACCACCAGGCGAAAATAAATAAGCTAGCAGGTACATCTTGAAGTTAAATAAGCCATAAAGGGCCATAAAAGGGGCGGACGTATCGTATGTGACATTCGGCTGTGACGCCCAGTGGTCTTGTAGCGCCGCAGGTCCCCACGACTGTAGGGCCAGTAATGTCGTGATAAACGTAACTGTTCCCACCACGATGGACAAACAGCGTAGCCTTATGTCTGAAAAAAATTGCACTGTAATTTAAAAAAAATTGTAAAAGTTGTTTTGAACGGGGGTAGAAAATAAAACGAATTGAGACTAGAACTCGAAATTCCCACTCATTTGTGTATAATTTTTTTTTGGTGTTATCTTGTATTTAATTCTTTTTGCTAACTGTGCTCTATGAATGCTTAATAACATGAAGTGATTACTGGAATATATTCCCTTTTTAATAGTTTTGAGAGAATAAGAATAATTAGGTACAATGCGGTACAAACTGAAAAATGAGTATGACAAATTGTAAAAATTGTCAAATCAAATCGATTTATTTACTACATCCTATTCATCATTGCCTTCCTTCACAATCCCACTGCTGAACATAGGTCTCCCCCAAAGAATGGCACAAAGCACGGTCCCGAGCCACCTGCATCCATCGACTTCCTGCATGTCTTACCAGGTCGTCACTCCATCTAGTGGGGGGGGGTCGCCCTACACTTCACCTACTGATACGAGGCTGCCACTCGAGAACCTTTTTCCCCCATCGGTTGTTGGTTCTTCGAGCTATATGACCGGCCCATTGCCACTTCACCTTACTGATCCGTTGGGCTATGTCAGTCACTCTGGTTCTACTGCGGATATCCTCATTTCTAAGTTGAGGTATACCTGACGAGAAGATGTGTTACAATCTCTCGAACGATGCCCAGCCAAGTTGAATCCGTCGATTGACCTTTCAGTCAAAGTAGGACTTACCTAGTCGGACTATTTGTCCCAAGTAAACATATTCGTCAATAAATTCGAGCTTAGTGCTTCCGATGATATCCCGGACGTCAGTCTGAGCGAGATTAGAATAGCTCTCCACCACCTTAAAAACGGCAAGGCCCCGGGCGAGGATGGAATTACAGCGGAGCTTCTGAAAGCGGGTGGAACACCGGTACTTGAAGTCCTTCAGAAGCTCTTCAATTCCGTCCTCCATGGTGGCACTACTCCGGAGGCGTGGAGCAGAAGCGTGGTGGTCTTGTTCTTTAAGAAAGGCGCCAACGCTCTCTTGAAGAACTACAGACCGATTTCCCTTCTGAGCCGCGACTACGTGCTGTTTTCGAAAGTAATTACGAATCGTCTCGCACGCAGACTCGACGACTTCCAGCCTCCCGAACAAGCCGGTTTCCGAAAAGGCTTCAGTACCATAGACCACATACATACCCTTCGGCAAATTGTACAGAAGTCCGAAGAGTACAATCTGCCACTTTGCCTGGCGTATGTGGACTATGAGAAAGCCTTTGATTCCGTCGAAATTTGGGCGGTGCTACAGTCTCTTCAGCGGTGCCTAGTTGACTGTCGGTATATTGAAGTGCTGAAGTGTTTGTACAGTAGGGCTACGATGGCTATCCGAGTACAGAACCAGAGTACGAAACCTATCCAACTGCAGAGAGGTGTAAGACACGGTAATGTTATATCCCCGAAACTCTTCACCGCTGCGTTGGAAGACGTTTTCAAGCTACTGGACTGGAAAGGATACGGTATTAACATCAATGGCGAGTACATCACTCACCTTCGATTTGTCGACGATATAGTCCTTATGGCAGAATCACTGGAGGACCTTAGCACTATGCTCAATGACCTCAATGGTGTCTCCCAACGGATAGGTCTTAAGATGAACATGGACAAAACAAAGATCATGTTTAATGTCCATGTCACACCAATGCCGGTAGTTGTTGGGAGCACTATGCTCGAAGTTGTTGACGAGTACGTTTACCTGGGACAAATAGTCCGACTAGGTAAGTCCAACTTCGACCGAGAGGTCAATCGACGGATTCAACTCGGCTGGGCAGCGTTCGGGAAATTACGACACATCTTCTCGTCAGGTATACCTCAATCTCTGAAAACTAAAGTGTATAACCAGTGCGTGTTGCCAGTGATGACTTACGGATCTGAGACGTGGTCCTTCACCGCTGGCCGTATGAGGACGCTCAAGGTCGCTCAGCGAGTTATGGAGAGGGCTATGCTTGGAGTTTTACTGCGTGATAGACTCAGAAATGAGGATCAAAATTCAAAATTCAAAATTATTTATTCAGTATCTTAAATTTAAATACATTAACTAGGCTGGGGTCTCCTTTTAAGTATATCAATACCTGTGTTAGGGGACCCCGCTCTTCCATAACAATTTTAGATACATATTAAATTGCGCATATGTAAAGATTAAACCAATGCTGGGTGTGTGTGTGTGTGTGTGTGTGTGTGTGTGCGTGTGTGTGTGTGTGTGTGTGCGTGTCTGTCGTGTGTGCGTGTGTGCGCGTGTGCGCGTGTCGAGCGTGTGCGCGTGTGCGCGTGTGCGCGCGTGTGCGCGCGTGTGCGCGCGTGTGCGACGTGTGCGCGCGTGCGCGTGCGTGTGCGTGTGCGTGTGTGTGTGTGTGTGTGTGTGTGTGTGTGTGCATGTGCGCGTTGTGGAAATTATTTATGCTATGGTGTAATTTTTCTATTTATTTCAATAAATTTTCAGTTTCTTCATACTCTATCGTCTTTAACCACGCTGTAAGTTGTTTATTCACATTATGCTTGGTCGTTGCATATATGTTAAGTTTTTTATTAGTATAGTTATAGAGATGAGCAGACTGACTTCTAAATTGCCTCCTAGCAAATTTCGTTTTCATGAGTACTACTGGTGCCACAGCATTTCCTCTTTTTCTATCGCAATTTTTGGGGTTATATATCAGCGTCTTGTGCAATCTTAATACAGAGTTAAGGATATACAGCTTCCTAACCGAAAGGTGGTCACATAGGGTGTATAGCTCTTTAGTAGGGAATCTGTAGGGCTTAAAGTGCATCACTTTAAATAATAATCTCTGTACTCTTTCTAGTTCCAAGAACTTCATTTTAGTGGCCCCACCCCAAACTGGGATACAGTATGTCAAAATGGATTGAGCTAATGAAACATATATTTGACACAGTAAGGTCTTATCTGTATATGTCTAAGAGTTCTAAAAATCCATATAAGTTTCCGCATCCTAGTCATCATCAGTTCAAGATGTGCATGCCAGGATAGACGCTGGTCAATTATAGATATGAGGATATCCGCAGTAAAACCAGAGTGACCGACATAGCCCAACGGATTAGTAAGCTGAAATGACAATGGGCCGGCCATATAGCTCGAAGAACCGATAACCGATGGGGAAGAAAGGTTCTCGAGTGGCAGCCTCGTACCGGTAGGCGTAGTGTAGGGCGACCCCCCACTAGATGGAGTGACGACCTGGTAAGACATGCAGGAAGTCGATGGATGCAGGTGGCTCAGGACCGTGCTTTGTGGCATTACTTGGGGGAGGCCTATGTTCAGCAGTGGACTTGTGAAGGGTTGTAATGATGATGATGATGATAGTGCTTTCAAGAACTACCGGCATAGGTGTGACATGGACGTTAGACATGATCTTTGTTTTGTCCACGTTCATCTTAAGACCTTTCCGTTGGGAGGCACTATTGAGTCATTTAGCATAGTGTTTAGGTCAGCAAATCTAAGGTGAGTGATGTACTCGCCATACATCATCATCATCATCATCATTACAGCCCTTCACAAGTCCACTGCTGAACATAGGCCTCACATACATACATAGGACTCGCCATTAATGTTAATATATATTAATAATGCTAATATTTTCTAGTCCAGTAGCTTGAAAATGTCTTTCAATGCTGGGTGAAGAATTTCGGGTATATAACGTCACCTTATCTTACACCTCTCTGCAGTTGGATAAGTTTTGTACTCTAGTTCTGTACTCGGATGGCCACCGTAGCCTATGTACAAGCACTTCGATATACCGATAGTCAACTTGTCACAACTGTAGGGAATGCTACACCACCCAAATTTCGACTGAACCAAAGGTTTTTCTTCTAATCCACATACGCAAAACATAGTGGTAGATTGTACTCCCTGGTCCTCTGTACAATTTACCAAATGGTATGTATCTGGTCTATAGTACTAAAGCCTTTTTGGAAACTGGCTTGTTCGGGAGGCAGAAAGTTGTCGAATCTGCGTGCGAGACGATTGTAATGACTTTAGAAAACAGCACGAAGACGCGGCTAAGAAGGAAAATCAGTCTACAGTTCTTCAAGAGGGCGCTGTCACTTTTCTTGAAGAACAACACCACTGCACTTCTGCTCCACTCCTCCGGAGTAGTGTCACCATGGAAGATGCATTTAAAGAGCTTCTGAAGGACTTCAAGTACTGGTTACAGCGATTCTGTCATAGGGACTATATCGTCAAAGGTGAGTGATGAAATCGCCATTGATGTTAATACCGTATCCTTTCCGGTCCAGTAGCTTGAAAACTTCTTCCAATGCAGCAGTGAAGGTTTTCGTGGATATAATTTCACCCTGTCATATACCTCTCTGCAGTTCCATAGGTTTCGTGCTCTGGTTCTGTACATACCATCGTAAACCTACTGTACAAACACTTCAGCATTTCGATATACTGACAGTCAACTTGGCACCGCTGATGGGACTGTAGCACTGCACAAATTTTGACGGAATGAAAGGCTTTCTCATAATCCACATACGGAAAGCAAAGTGGCAGATTGCACTCTTACGTCTTTTGTATAATTTGCCAAAGGGTATGTGGTATGTGGTTTATAGCACTGAAGCCTTTTTGTAGCCTGAAGCCTTTGCGGCAGTTCCGCTGTATGCATTTGGAGATCTATCTGTTCAGTTGCCTGTATTCTGTAAAATCTACTGAAGAGTGCAGCTTTATTTTCTGTCTAACAGTCATGAGATTAAGAGTGTGATCGGATAGTTTTTGTGTTTTTCTGTGACGGGTATTACAGAACTTAGCTTGGACCGCATGGACAGTTTCCACGAGCTTGTCATGCATAATATCTTCCACTGCATTGCAGTCTTCTAGGCACTGAAAACAGTTTTGTAACTCGAGCTGAAAGTTTTTTGGACTTTGTATTAGAGGATCTCGTGTCCTCCCCTTGTCGTTGGACCTCAGAGAATCCTATAATATTCCAGCGAAACTTGTCTACCTCTTCCTCCAGCC